GAGGCTTTATACTCAAACCTGAATTCAGAAACTAAACCCTGTATAACATTCAATAAAATTGCATTCCATAAAATATTACATTAAAGAAGAAGTATTGAGATAAAGCATAAACTCTATAAAAAATAAATGATCAAATATTCATTAAAATATTTTTTTGCTTGGTGTGTCTTCAAAGCACCCAAAGGTATCTATGTATAGGAGCGGGGGAAAGGGAAAGTTGATTGACATTTCTATGTAGGATGAATATAATCTCTCAGTGAGTGACAACTAGCCTAATGGTCCCCCTCATGCGTGTAAGAGGTATGTAAGATTCCTTATTATATATAAGTGGTCCTAAGGGATGGTAGTGCATGTACAAACGTAGGTTTGTGTAATTATATATTAAACTCTTTATTTTAACATACTCCTATGTTTAAACATCTATTTCCTTAGTTGTCTGATTGATGCATTTGAAACTCCAAAATTTTTTACCCTCGACAAATCTTTGGCTATTGCAATATGGGCTTTGATTTCTCCCCAACATTTAATTTTTATCATTAACCTTTGTAATTTGTCAACACATGCTTTCTCTAGAGTTCTTGAAGTTGGTCCGATAGAAAATTTTGAAAATATTATGAATTTTGATATTTGGACATGCATGTTAATATTATTAGCATTAATATCTGTATTGTACTTGATATTGTTTAGATTCTTCTGCTAGTCTACTACCTAATGGTAGGTTGAAGACCCTTTTTCAACAACCGTTAAGTTACCCATTTGATATAAAAGATGGTCATACTCTATTGCTGTTTTGGAAATGGAGGAATATTTGCAAGAAAGATATTCTATTTAATTATTTTCTTTTTTTATTGGCGCTACAATTTTTTTTTAGGTATTAGTAAGGTATAATAGTAAGTTAAACATATGAAGGAGCTATTTTTATCAATAATTTAGTATATCTTGTTGTTACTTAATGCTGAATTTATAAGCATACATGTTTTGCAGGTGTGAGTGGTTTGTTTATGCACTTCATGAAGCTTCATTTGTTGTAATAGTTAAGCTTAAACGTATGGCATTGAAGGGTTAGTATTTCACTAGTATTTGCTATTTGTGGTTCTTGCATAATTGGAAGATTCACATGGATTGATTGCTCGTGTCAAGTTTAATTTATTTTTCATTTTTATGACTCATTGACTGCAACATTTTATGCGATGTGCATTTACCCATGTATTTGTTAATTGTAATGTAATTCATCAGTTGACATCTATGCCTAACAGAATAAGTGAAATGAACTAAATCCACTGGAAAACTGCTAGTTGTAACATGATTTTGTATTATGATCATGACTCAGATTATGTTTGTGCTGCTGAAAATTTAATTTGAGTAAGAACGCCGATTTCTCTCTTTATTGGTGAATAAAATATATTTGCATTCAACTGTGCAAGGAGATTCAAAGAATTTTGCGTAATTTTTTTAACCACGTAGATAATCATTCAATGAAAAATGGAGAAAAATAATCAAACCTAGGAAATTAGTATAGCGTTATAGATTAGTAAGGAAGAAAGAAAGATTCATAAAAAAAATTCATGATTTTTTTTTTATATTCTATCCAGATTTTTTAGTTTAGTTTTGTTGCTTTTCTTTGGTGTACTATTATTTATATATAATACTAAAAATATTTATTCTGATTACAGTTTCAAAAATGTAATTGCTAAGTTGAAAAGGTTTAAGTTTGGAAAGAAGGGCTATGGCCTTCAGGCACTTAAGGATATCTCTAATGGCCAATTCCTTATAGAATATATTAAGGACGTAAACTATATTCCTTTATATAATGCCAAATTACATCATGACGATCAATAATCTTCTAGCTAGCACTACAAAAAAAATAGTATATTTGTAACGGAATTCCGTTCTTAAAGTTCACGTAGCTAACATAATTCCATCTCTAATTCCGTCTCTAATATCATTAGTAACGGAAAAAGTGAATTTAGGAACGAAAAGATCTCGTTACAAAATTGATAATTTCTTGTAGTATAGAATATAAATATGGGCATGAATATAGTTTCAGTATGACTATTAATTTCATCATAGTGGAGTTGTGTGTATTATGTTTTGTTGGATTTTACTATTAATCGAAATAGGAACATGTTGCATCTTGAATGGATTGTCACATTTTAGTAATTTTTTAGTTATATATATATATATATATAGACACACACAACACAGGGTAATGATTTCGGAGATTAGGAAAATAGAAGAGTATTTGCTACTCATATCTCATTCTCATGTCTATTAATTGTTTGTCTATTGCTCTCTATTTCGGGTGTTGTGGGCATGTGGTATTGGATTGCTTCTTTAAAAATTGATAATGATGAGTGACACCAAAAGCTTGTGCATTTTTTTTAAAAAAAATTATGTTGATGTTAAGATATTGTGCATAAAAATATTGCTATTTTTTTTTATTGAGGTGAATCTTCTTCAATTTTTCATGAAAACATTGATTGTACGATAAGATGTACTTTGGAAAGTGAAATGATCATACGTTGATTAATACCACATTGATTTTACTTAGAAAATATCTTGGGAGTGTTTTATTAGGTTTGTTCCTTAAAAATTGACACCATGCCATTAATATGCATTCAGAGTTACACCATTTCCTATAATTTTTCTTAAGATTTCATTCACAATCTTCATACTTTCTACTGTTAAATTTTGCATTATTGCTACACATTATCTCATTTTTTTATTTTTTATTTTTCTGAGATATCATATATGGTTAAGTTAAAGAAATCAATTAGCATATTCTGATTGTTTAGCCGTAGATTAGACCACATGAGTAACATATGAGCATGAAATGATCATGAAATTGATAAGCTTGTATATTTGTTCATTTCCAATTTCCATGAGAAGTTTAGATTGGAAAAAAAAAATAAACAAAGTCTTACAAGACGTTTCTAGAGTCGGTGACCATCTAATTAATTAATTAAGGGTAAACTGTTTTTTTAGTCCCGTAACTGGACCCCTTTATCATTTTAGTCCCGTAAGTGGAGCCTGTCGCAAACTAGTCCCATAAGTGAAGAATTTTCGCTGTTTTAGTCCTTCGGCGCCGGAGACGCTCGCGTGGCTCGCCGGAGGTGACGTGTCCGCCAGGTGTCCCGCTAGGTCAGCGACACCTGGCGGACACGTGGATTTATTATTTTATTTTTATTTTTTTAATTGGACCAAATAAAAAAAATAAAAATAAAAATAAAATTAAAAATAAGTCTTTAAAAAAAATTAAAAAAATGAAAAAAAAAATCCACGTGTCTGCCAGGTCAGCGACACCTGGCAGACACGTCACCTCCGGCGAGCCACGCAGGCATCTCCGGCCGCAGAGGACTAAAACAGCGAAAATTTTTCACTTATGGGACCAGTTTGAGACAGGCTCCACTTATTAAAATGATAAGGGGGTCCAGTTACGGGACTAAAAAAACAGTTTACCCATTAATTAATTATTTGTATCACTAAAATATGATCAATCATTATTCACATATTAGTTTAATTAATTAATTAATTTTACTTAAATAACTTCTTTTTGTTATTTTTTCTTTAATTTTTGACGAGGTCGTCAAAAGAGACGATGAACATGCACTACCACCAGGTCCGATTACTCGAAATCGTGCCAAGAAGTTTCAAACTAATATTATGACATTAGTTCTACACTTGGAAGAGGAAAACACGCACAAAGTTGAAGCATGGAGGCCAATGGGAAGAGCGTTGTCAACATTGAAGTGCATCCACCCTTGAAGACCACAATTTATAACACCCATGGAGTTTTTACTCACATCATTACCCATGTGGGATAAGAGGTGTTTTATTTTATTTAATAAAGTGGGCCCCTTTAATCTAATTAATTGGACATCTCTTATTTACTTAATTAGTGGGATATAAATAATATATAATTTTGTCCCACATTGGTTGTAGAGTCCTTTTGCCAAGCTAGCCTCCCCTATAAATAAGGCACTTGGCTTCACTTGTTAGACACCTTGAAAATTATATCAATTAAAGTTTCTTTTTATTCCATTATATTGGAATTAGTGTGTGAGCGAGGATTACCCTTGCATACGCGTATCATTCTCAAATCAGGTCCTTGGGTTGATTCCTTGGGTTCGTGGCTTCCGAAACTGACCGGAGTTTCTAGCCAAATCGTTCGAGTCTCTATTGGTTTAGAGGTGTTGGGTCTAGGCAACGCTTGGGTTCACATCCGATCGATTGACGAATCGGACACCGGTAATATCTTCTTTTTTTTTTACTTAGTTTTTTTATTTGAATTTAGTTTTAAGTTTCGGCTAGTATAGTTTAGTTACTTGGGCTGCGTCATCAATTTGGTATCAGAGCCCGTTTTTATCGGAATTCTTATTCCGGTAGTATTAGTAGTCTTTATTTCATATTGTTAAATTATGTTAAGATCTTTTAAATTTTTGTAGTAGCATTATCATTGTTGGGCAAAAAAAAAAAAAAGCAGAAAATAAAAAAAAATTACTGTAGAAAATAAATTAAAAAAAAGTACTGCAGAAAAAATAAATAAAAAAAACTGTAGAAAATAAAAAAAATTACTGCAGAAAATAAATTAAAAAAAGTACTGCAGAAAAAAAAAATACTGCAGAAATTTAAAAAAAAAAGAAAAGAAAAGAAAATCCCTCTTTGAAATATATTGTGATTTTGGGTATTGTATCCACTTGTTTATTTGTGGATATCGATTTTTTTGCGGTTGTGGTTTCATTGTTGGTTCGTTGCCATTGTTGGGTTTGGCTTCTTGGGGTACACTCGTCAATTTATATTGGCTATATTCCGTGAAGTTTAGTTGGCTATAATTCGAGGGGCTTACCAAGGACCGTGAAATTTGAGCGCGTGTGTAAGACGGAGAGGTACATTACGTGGGTATACACGAGAGGGTGAGGAGATCATTTATCTAACCATCTATATATATATTTCCACTATAATTTTCTATGGTAGGTGAGAGAAGTGACGAGGAACATGATATGGCATCCGCATCAAGCTTTGACCCAAAAATGTTCGTGAAAGATATGATGGTGGAAGTACAAAGGGTACTTCGACATGAGGTTGAGGGACTCCATGCCCGAATAAATAAATTGAAAACATCGAGGGTAGAAGGGAATGCAGCCCCTTCACGTCCGTACAATGGCATTCCACCTTTAGGACAACAACCTACCGGGAATGCTCCAAGGCATGAACGAGTTCGTGATCTTATCCAAGATGACCGCGACATGAATGAGTATGATGGAGAAGTAGAGACCAATGTTCCCCTTCGAGCACGACGAGGGGCACATAAGAGAGATGACAATGATCCAATTCGTTCTATGAAATTCCAAATCCCAGCTTTCTACGGGAAATATGATTCAGAAGCATATCTTGATTGGGAGCGAAAGATTGAGCTGATCTTTGATTGTCAAGATTTGGATGGTCCACAAAAGGTCTGAGCTGCGGTCTCCGAGTTCAAAGATTATGCCATTCATTAGTGGGACAATATTTGCCTCAATCGAAGGCGAGGTGGAGCACCGATGATTCAAACATGGGAGGAGTTGACACGTGTTATGCGAGCTAAATTTGTGACGAGTTTGTATACGCAAGAATTGCATGTTCGACTGCAATCGATGAAGCAAGGAAATAGGACAGTCGATGAGTTCTACAAGGATTTGGAGGTGACTTTAATGCGGGCTGATGTTCGAGAGAGTCAACAAGCCACGGTAGCGAGGATCTTGACGGGGCTGAATCGAGACATTACTGACAAAGTGGGATTGTATCGTTTTGATGATATTGATGAATTGGTGGAACGTGCTATTACTATTAAGAAGCAATTGAAGCGTAAGGGCAAACATAAAACATTTGGTACGAAGCCCTTCACACCAAATTATACCAAGAAGGATGACAAAACCCAAGTGGCCCAAGGATTCGGTAAAGGAAAAGGTATTATCAAGGATGACACGTCACGGAACAAGCATGTTGGAGCTGATCCGGAGAAGCTGAGGAATCGAGATATCATTTGCTTCAAGTGTCAAGGTCGAGGCCACATTGCAAGTCAATGCCCAAACCAAAAAACGATGATCCTCAATAAGTTTGGAGAGTACGAAACTGAATCTGAAAATGAGGAGGGGGTTGATCAAAGAGTAGATGAGAAAAATAACACGGATGATGACTCTGATTCTGGTGTTGGTTTGAGTTTGGTTACCTTACGAGCCTTAAGCACTATGTCAAGGACCTTTGATGAGGAACAACGAGAAAATCTCTTTCAAACTCGTTGCATAATTGGAGGCAAAGTGTGTAGCCTCATTATTGATAGTGGGAGTTGCACAAATATTGTAAGTGAACTTGCTGTTCGAAAATTGAATTTGCTAACAACACCCCACCCCAAACCATTCAAATTGCAGTGGGTTAGCAATTGTGGAGAGTTGAATGTGAACAAGCAGGTGACGGTTTCTATCAAGATCAACAATTATAAGGATGAAGTCGTTTGTGATGTGCTACCGATGCAAGCTTGTCACGTATTACTTGGGAGGCCATGGCAGTTTGATAGTAAGGCTCATCATGATGGATATTTGAATAGATACTCATTTGAGTTTGGGAGTAGAAAGATATGTTTGAAGCCGTTGTCTCCAATGGATGTCCATGAGGACCAACTCTACATGCATCGTCAATTTTTGGAAGAAGCCAAAGAAAAGAGAGAAAGGAAAAAGAGTGAAAAAAATAAGAGTGAAAAAAGTGAGCATTGGAGTGAGAAAAGTGAGAGCGAAAAAAATAAGAGTGACAAAAGAGAGCAAGCGAGTGAACAACGCAAGAGTGAGATTGAAAGAAAAATGTTTGTGAGTTTAAGAGAGGCAAAAAATTTGAAAGTTCATGAGGGAAGTTCTTATTTACTTTTGATTAAACCTGTTTATTTGTCTAAGCAAGAGCTAATGCAACTCCCTTCCAATGTTGCTTCTCTTTTGTAGGAATATCAAGATGTGTTTCCTGATGAAGTAATCGGAGGATTACCACCTATTCGGGGCATTGAGCACCAGATGGATCTCATTCCGAGTGCATCAATTCCAAATCGTTCAGCTTACAAGGCAAGTCCAGAGGAAGTCAAAGAAATACGTAAGCAAGTGGATGAGTTGCTTGACAAAGGCTGGATTCGCGAAAGCCTAAGCCCTTGTGCTGTACTGGTTCTTCTTGTCCCAAAGAAGGATGGTGGGTGGAGGATATGCATCAATTTTCGAGCCGTAAATGCCATAACGGTAAAGTATCGACACCCTATCCCTCGTTTAGATGATATACTAGATGAACTGCATGGGTCAAAATATTTTTCTAAAATTGATTTGAAAAGTGGATATCATCAGATTAGAATGTGGGAAGGTGACGAATGGAAAACTGCATTTAAAACTACATTCGGCTTATATGAGTGGTTAGTCATGCCTTTTGGTCTTACAAATGCTCCAAGTACGTTTATGCGGTTAATGAATCATGTATTACGTACCTTCATAGGGAAGTTTGTTGTGGTTTACTTTGATGATATTCTCATTTATAATAAATCAATGGAAGAACATGTAGAGCATATTCATAGTGTTTTGGAAGTGTTAAGAGCTGAAAAGCTTTATGCTAACCCGAAGAAGTGCGACTTTTGTGTCGACAAATGTATTTTTCTTGGTTTTATTGTAGGTGCTGAAGGGATAAGTGTGGGTGAAGCTAAAACACAAGCTATTCGGGATTGGCCAACACCTAAAACGATCAAGGAAGTTCGTAGTTTCCTTGGACTTGCAAGCTTTTACCGCCGCTTTGTGCGAGATTTTAGCTCCATTGCAGCACCACTGACTGAGCTTACAAAGAAAGATAAACACTTTGATTGGGGAGTTTCTGAACAAGCATCTTTCGATTTGGTTAAGAGAAAACTTACTAATGCTCATGTTTTAGCTCTACCGGATTTTACTAAGCCATTTGAATTGGAATGTGATGCCTCAGAAATTGGGATTGGAGCTGTTTTGATGCAAGGAAAGAAGCCGATTGCGTACTTCAGTGAGAAGCTGAGTGGGGCTACCCTCAACTATTCGACATATGACCGACATTTGTACTCGTTGGTTCGTGCACTTCAAGCATGGCAGAACAATTTACGATCACAAGAATTCATTGTTCACACTGACCATGAATCATTAAACCATTTAAAGAGTCAACAAAAGCTTAGCAAGCGGCATGCAAGATGGGTAGCATTCGTGGACATATTTCCTTACTCGATATTCAGTACAAGAAAAGAAAGGAAAATGTTGTAGCTGATGCGCTATCAAGAAGGTACGGATTGCTAACCTTGTTAGAATCTAAGCTTTTGGGATTTGCATTCATAAAAGATATTTATGTGAATGATGTTGATTTTTCTGATATCTTTGCAAAATGTGCTACGCATGGCTATGGTGATTATTACTTGCACGATGGGTATTTGTTTCGTGTGAATTGTTTGTGTGTACCTAGGTGTTCACTTCGTGATGTGTTAGTGGTTGAGGCACATGAGGGAGGTTTAATGTGTCATTTTGGGCGTGATAAGACATTGGGTGCATTGCATGAACACTATTATTGGCCTAAAATGAAGCATGATGTGGAGTCTTATGTGAATAAATGTGTTGTTTGTAAGATTGCAAAGTCACATGCACAACCACACGGTCTATACACACCCTTACCTATTTCAGAAACACCATGGACTGATATTTCAATGGATTTTGTTATGGGATTGCCTAGGTCTAGGAGAGGAAATGATTCGATTTTTGTCGTGGTTGATAGATTTTAAAAAATGGCACACTTTATTGCATGTAGGAAAACCAATGATGCATCTCATGTTGCAGATCTATTCTTTCATAATGTTTTGAAATTGCATGGTGTCCCTAAGACAATTGTGTTGGACAGGGATACAAAGTTTCTTAGTTACTTTTGGAAGACACTTTGGGCTAAATTGGGAACTAAGTTGCTATTTTCTACATCTCATCATCCCCAAACGGATGGTCAAACTAAAACAGTGAATAGAACCTTAGGGAACCTACTTCGTGTCTTGATAAAAAAGAATTGTAAAAGTTGGGAAGAATGTTTGCCTTACGCTAAATTTGCATATAATCGTACGTTGCATTCTTCGACACACATGTCTCCTTTTGAGGTTGTTTATGCCTTTAATCTTCTAACACCTTTGGATATGTTACCATTGCCTAGCAATGAGTATTTTAATAGTGATGGCAGGAAACAGGCTGAATTTGTGAAGGAGATGCATTCAAAGGTTCGGGATAACATTGCAAAATCAAACGCTCGGTATGCTAAAAGTGCTAACAAAAGTCGAAAGCATGTAGTGTTCCATCCAGGCGATTGGGTGTGGTTGCACTTGAGAAAAAGTAGATTTCCCGAGAAGCGAAAGTCTAAGCTGAGCCCAAGAGGAGACGGGTCATTCCAAGATGTGGAACGCATCAATGACAATGCATATCGTATTGAGCTACCGGGTGAGTACCAAGTTCATAGCACATTCAACGTTGTTGACTTAAGTCTTTTTGATGTAGGAGATGAACATGCTATGAAAATGGGGGATTCAATTTTTCAAGAAGGGGGGGATGACGAGGTCGTCAAAAGAGACGATGAACATGCACTACCACCAGGTCCGATTACTCGAAACCGTGCCAAGAAGTTTCAAACTAATATTATGGCATTAGTTTTACACTTGGAAGAGGAAAACATGCACAAAGTTGAAGCTTAGAGGCCAATGGGAAGAGCGTTGTCAACATTGAAGTGCATCCACCCTTGAAGACCACAATTTATAATACCCATGGAGTTTTTACTCACATCATTACCCATGTGATAAGAGGTGTTTTATTTTATTTAATAAAGTGGGCCCCTTTAATCTAACTAATTGGACATCTCTTAGTTACTTAATTAGTGGGATATAAATAATATATAATTTTGTCCCACATTGGTTGTAGAGTCCTTTTGCCAAGCTTGCCTCCCCTATAAATAAGGCACTTGGCTTCATTTGTTAGACACCTTGAAAATTATATCAATTACAGTTTCTCTTTATTCCATTATATTGGAATTAGTGTGTGAGCGAGGGTTACCCTTGCATACGCGTATCATTCTCAAATCGGGTCCTTGGGTTGATTCCTTGGGTTCGTGGCTTCCGAAACCGACCGGAGTTTCTAGCCAAATCGTTCGAGTCTCTATTGTTGAGAAAGTTGAATCAGAAATAAATGGATGATTTCTTGAAGAAGGGCCTAAGAACAACAACGAAGCACAACCTAAGAGAAGAGAGGGCATTCCCTTTTCTAGTGCGCCTCGCCTAGGGATGTGGTCCTGCCTGAAGCTCTCAACTCCTATCACAGAACTGCTCCGGACGAGGAACTTATTACTATTGAATATATATTTAAGCCGGATAGACCGATAAAAACCACGCCCCTGTTGGCCGCAGCAGCCGAAGACAAAGACATTCTATAATCATCTATAATCAAAGGTAAGGTGCCAAACCCGTATTGTACCGGAGCATATTCTATATTAAGATGGCATCGAACCGGACCTCTATTCATAGAGCAAGTCCTAGTCTTAAATTCTTAAATAAGGAAGGTCCGACTTATTACTTCTTTTTTGAATATATCTTATAGTTTAGAGGTGTTGGGTCTAGGCAACGCTTGGGTTCACATCCGATCGATTGACGAATCGGACACCGATAATATCTTCTTTTTTAATTAGTTTTTTATTTGAATTTAGTTTTAAGTTTCGGCTAGTATAGTTTAGTTACTTGGGCTGTGTCAATTTTGAATTAATTAATTCTATTTATTTATTTTATTACCCTTTGTTCGTGTGTTTGATTTCTAGAATTATTTTATTTTTTGTGTTTATAATATTTCTTTCATTGAGAAATACCCTTTCAGTAGGCTATGTTTGGATATTAAACATAATGCAGTCTTTTTCGGTGCATCCTATATGCAGTGCTTTTGGATGTTATATAGCGTTTTCTAATAAGTCATTTTCGTTTACGTTTCGGTGCTAGATTTGCAAAGGTGAGCATTATGCTAATAAGTACTTACAGTATCTTCAGGCTCAATGTGCAATGTCCTCGGCTAATTTGGCTCAAGCTTTCACCTCCTCTTGCAATGTTTTGAAGCAAAGTCCAGATTCGTACATTGATTCCGGCGCTTCCGCCCATATGACAAATCAGTCCACATCTCTGGATTCTTGCAAGCCCTACTCAGGTCACGGTTATGTTATAGTTTGTATGGGTAATTCGTTGCATATTTCTCATATTGGTAATTGTAATATCTCTGAGGACATTCAATTATTGGACGTGTTTGTCGTTCCCCATAAAACAAAAATCTCTTATCTATTAGTAAATTAACTGCAGATTATCCTGTTGATGTTATATTTTCTTATAAGTGTTTTTCCATTCAAAACCGGGTGATAAAGAAAGTTCTGGCTCAGAGCAGATGTGATAATAGTCTTTATTTGCTTGATCGAGGGGTTCCGACTTTGGTGGTTGCGGTCCGGAATAAAGAACTAAATGATAGCTTTGAGTTATGCCATTTACACCTCGGGCATGTTACATTTTCTACTATTATGTTATTGAATAAAATGGGTCAGGTATCTGTTACTTCTATTTTACCAATTCCTATTTTTTGTTGTTCTTGTCATTTAGCTAAGAGCAAACGTTTGTCTTTTCTGTTGAATGAAAAATGAACTGGTGTTGTTCTTGACTTAATACATTGTGACTTGTGGGGTTCTGCCCCTGTTACTACTTATGATGGTTTCATCGTTATGTGGTATTCGTGGATGATTATACTCGTTTCTATTGGATTTTCCATTACGTGCGAAGTCTGATTTATACTATTCTAGTTCACTTTGTTGCTTTTGTTTGCAATCAATTTTCTTGTACTATTAAGGAATTTCAAAGTGATGGGGGAATTGAGTTTGTAAATGGTGGAGTGAGTTTATGAGTTTGCATGGCATCCACCATCGTATTTTTCTTGTCCTTACACTCCTCAGCAGAACGGTCAAGCCGGAAGGAAACATCGTCATATTACTGAGACTGGTTGTCTATGTTATTCCATGCTCACATATCTGATTTTTTCTGGTTCGATGCTTTTGCCACTGCAACTTTTGTTATTAACAGGCTACCATATTCGGTCTTGCATAATTCTTCGTTGTTTGAGCTATTATTTGGATATTCTCCTAATTATGCTCACTTTAAACCTTTTGGTTTCTAAGTCTTTCCGTATCTTCGAGATTATGCAGCTCACAAATTGGATCCAAGAAATCTTCATTGTGTGTTTATTGGGTATATCAACATTCACAAGGGTTCTGCTGTTTGGATCCAGACTAGGGTCGCATTTTTATTTCTCGTCATGGTCAGTTTGATGAACATTGTTTCCCATATTCTCGGTTTCCCTCGTCGGCTCGTCTAAAAGATCTGAAGATGAAGAATTTCTTGGATGTTTCAAATTCTCACTTCCCTCATTCTCCGTCCCAACCTATCAACAGTTCTTCTCGATCACAAGGTTCGACATCTCGTGCGCCTCTTGTTGACGATGATGTTCCTTTTCCTCCTATATCTGCTCCACCTGTTCTTGTCGAGCCCAATAGACCACCTGCCTCTGCTCTAGTTGCTTCTACCGAGCCCAATACACCCGCTGCTGCTGCCTCTGTTCCATCTCATCCCATGATTACACTGGCATATGCTGGTATATTTAAGCCTCGGTATCCAGTTGACTTGTCTTCTACCGCTCTTCTGTAAGCTCTCGTTGCTACCTCTGCGCCACATGGATTCAAGTATGCTTCTAAACATCCGGAATGGCTTGCTGCAATGCAAGCAAAAATTGATACTCTACGTTCAAATGATACTTGAACTTTGGTACTTCGCCCTTTAGGCTTTAATATTGTTGGATCCAAGTGGGTTTTTTGCACGAAGTTTCATGTTGATGGCACCATTGAGCATCACAAAGCTCGTTTGGTTGCTCAAGTTTTTACTCAAGTCCTTGGGACCGAGTTTTATCATACTTTTAGCCCTATTGTTAAGGCTGCTACGGTCCGTAATGTTATAGCTCCTGCAGTCCAACACGGTTGGACCCTTCACCACCTTGACGTCAAGAATGCCTTCCTTAATAGTGTTTTGATAAGCCTGTCTTCATGCCTCAGCCTCTTGGCTTCATTGATCCTTGTTATCCCGATCATGTGTGTCGTGTGAAGAAAGCCCTGTATGGACTTCGACAGGCTCCTCTGGCTTGGTTTCAACGCTTTAGTTTGTATCTTCTCAGTTTGGGATTCCTTTAGAGTCAGGCTGACTATTCTCTTTTCTATTTTCACAAGGGATCCACAATTATCTATCTTTTACTTTACGTGGATGATATCATAATTATAGGAAACAACATTACTGCCCTTAAGCTTTTCATATCTCGTACACATCGGGAGTTCGCTATTAAGGATCTCGGACGTCTCAACTACTTACTTGACTTTGAAGTTTCATATACCTCTCACGGCTTGTTTGTAGGCCAGGCGAAAACGCCCATGATATTCTTAAATGTGCTGATTTGCTGGACTCCAAACATGTTTCCACTTTTCTGGCCACGGGGGAATTCTTAGTCATCTCAGGTTCTTTTTTTGTTTCGCGATCCTGCATTGTACCGTTCACTTATCGGAGCTCTTCAATATTTGACGATTATTCGCCCTAATTTATCTTACGCTGTCAGCTTGTTAGTTAGTTCTTACACTCTCCTACTGACACCCATTTTTATGTTGTTAAGCAAATTCTTCGTTATGTTAAAAGGACGTTGCATTTTGGTTTCTCTTTCACATATCGCCCCGATTCATCTATCTTGGGGTATTCTGATGCCGATTGGGCAGGTTGCATTGAAAGTCGCCATTCTCCTTATGGGTACGCCATATTTTTTGGGGACAATCTAGTCTTTTGGAGTGCTAAAAAGCAACCCATTGTTGCACGCTCTAGTTGTGAATCCGAGTATAGGGCTTTGGCCAATGCAGCAGCTGAGCTTCTTTGAGACACCAATCTTCAGCTTTGAGCTCTACCTCTCTGCTTGTTGACGTTGCTCTCTGACAAAAGAAGTGTTATCTTATTGAGCCAAAATCCGATTGATCACAAACGCGCCAAGCATATCGATCTTGATTACCACTTTGTTCGTGAAATAGTTTTTCTGGTCGACTCCACACGGCTTTCTTTCCCTCCCATTTGCAGCTAGGTGACATCTTCACAAAACGCTTATCTCCTCTTACTTTTGAGTTTTTGTGTTCCAAACTTTGCGTGTGCCTTCAACCCACGCAACGCTTAAAGGGGGTAATAGCGTTTATAATTGTCCCTAATTTATTTTAATTGGTGATTGTGTAAATTAATGTATAGTCTTCATTTCCTAAATTATTCCTCATTTATTTATGGGAGCTTGTTACTTTCTCAGTACATAAATTTTTATATATAGATTTTTCTCTAATCACCAATTCAAGGGTGATTTTCTAATCATGTCTGCAATAGTCTTCTTGAGTTTTGGGAGGGAGCATGTATATCGAAATAAAAGAGAATACTATTGAGAACAATGGAGGATTTTTTTTCCGTTGTAATGCATGCAATTTTTTTTTCCGTGTAAGTTAAATCTTAGGATAAATAAATAAATTTGTTTCCATCATGGTTACTCAACATGGTAGGCTTAATTTTACTTAAGACCATTACATTTAATCATAAGGGCATGTTTTGTTTTAAATTTGATTGAGTAATGTTCATTATGATACATTATCGTAATAGCTGAATCAAGCGAAATTTTTGTATATTCATACTTATTTATAAAATTTATAAAATACATATATATTCTTAATAAATTGTGATCTAATTCCAATAATACATACTAACTTTTTTGTGGCGCGCAAGGATTGCTATTATATATATATATATATATATATATATAAGTTGACTCTTTTAGAAAAATTTCTTTTGGTACCAAAATATTTGTGTGTTAACCAACATTTCACCAATCAACCAACTACCCACCTTAGGATCATTTTTTTGGAGTGTTTTAAAAAGAGCATGGGTCTACATTGAATGTAATATTATAAATAAATAATAGCATAAATAAAAAAATAGATATTAATACTATTATTGTTGTTAAATAAAGAACACCAAAAAAAAAATAAAAATCATTCAACATGAATATATATACATTTTTTCTCTTACAACCGCCCACGATGTCGAGGATCTGGCCAGTCTGATTTATATATGTTTTGAAAAGATGAATACTCTCTTTGTCTGGATTTTTTATGCCACTATACTCGAGTATGGAGACTAAGAAATACCGAATACTAAGACCGAGAAATAATATTATTTTAATATAAAAATATGATAGGTAAAAAATTAAAATGGTGTATTATGGAAAATTTATGAAAAATAAATAAAAAATAATAAGGTAAGTAAAAAAATTAATATCAAATTAATTATTATTTGTTAAAGTGAGAATAATAAAATTGTAAATAACTATTTACTATAAATATATTAGATATAAATTTAGTGAACAATCAAAAGACAAAATTGACATAATTATCACACCACAAAGAGTATATATACATATATATTACACTTATACAATATTAAATCAAATATTGTTTAAACGAAAATTTTAAACTTCTAAACTCAACTCAAGTTGAAGCATACAAAATTGTTTGGAGTGTGTTTGGATTTGATTTGGTATTGTTCGAAAAAAATTTGGCCCCAAATTCATTAAATTATATAATAAATTTTTTTTTTTATACATTAAAAATAAAATAAATTAATGGTTCAAAACATAAGATTAAATATTTATTTATATCACTTTAATAACTCGTTATATTTAAATTTTTACTATTTCGAAATTTTCAAACCAAATCCAAATATATCTCATCATAAATTTACTTCAATTTTGTTTTCGGATACAAAATGATGTCTCTATAATTATTGCCGATAATTGACTTAGTTGTATAGTTTGGATTGTATTCCAAGCATAAGTGAATTATGTCAGATACAAGCAGGCTTCAATTTCACTATGTTGTTAATTGATGGCACGACATAATTATAAATTATTACAACAAATATTCTGTTAATGTAAAGCATTGGGATTTGGATACACAATTGTTTATAACATTTTAGAAAATCTCCCATATACAAATCATGGGTGTTTTTTTTTGTTTGTATTTTAGATATTTAAGAATTTATTATTTTTTTTTCCCAATGAAAATAAAAATAAGTTGTGATTTTTCCTTTTATATGAAAATACATACAAAAGCGCCCTTAAAAAAAAAAAAAAGTAATTCAAGAAGAAAGCTTAGCACGTGAGCGGCCGAGGATGTCACGTGACACGCGGCGGACACTATGGATAAAACGACTGCGGTAGAGTAGTTAGCGACAGTTAGTTAATTAGCCTAATATTTAATTATCAGGAATCACTAATTACGGCCAGTGGCGAGTAACGGTTCAGTTAACCGCGGTTTAGCTCGGCTGGTAATTACGCTGGAGATTCGGTAGTTACTAACGGCCGTTAAGTCCAACCGTTTCTGATTGTCGCAGTCTATAAAATTGATCAGAGGCCGTTACGTTTGGTGCAGTGCTTCCTCTGTCTCCCCAATTCCCAACTTTCTCTCCTCTCTCTTTGCAATTCTCTTCTCACCATCTTTTTTTCCATACTGAAATTCTGACGAATTTTTTGTGGAGAGGGAGGGGAGGGAGCCTTCGGACGGCGGAGTGATGGCAGAAGGAATGGCTTGGAAGAAGTGGACGGTGTCTATGCTTATATTGCTGCTGTTTGTGCTGCTCATTGCAGCTGTGGCTAGATTTGGGGGAAAAGAAATCCTGAAGTTGAGGTTTGTGTTGTGTTATTTTGTTTTCTGCTCTTCATGTCTCGAATTTCTTTACGAAGGAAATGCTTCAGTTTGTGTGTTTCAAAATTGCGTTCAAAAACCAGGAAGATTGAGCTTATTGTATATGCCTAGTTTGTGTCTATTTGTTTGCATTTCTTCTGAAGGTTTACTTTACAGACGAAATTTTGTTGTGCTGCTGTTGTTATCGTTCGTTTTTTGTGTGAAATAGTTTCGTAATCCTGCAATACGTTTCAGAAAGTCTGGAGTGTATTGATCTTCTAAATGCTGTGGAGAAACAGAATTTTCAGAGCTCTCGGAGCTCAACAATGGCTGCGCAGCGAGTCACTGTAGTTCAATGGGCTTTTTGCCTAACCTAATCTAAGCCGTTTCCTTTCCCTCTTCGACACCGATCAAATTCCAGCCGTCGATCTCCTTCAATCCACTTTCCTATTCCCTATCAGAACAGGCATCAATCCCAGCCGTTCAACTACTTTAATCTTTAGTAAATCTTAACCGTTCATTCCGTAATAACCTGTAATACTTCTTGGATTCCTCTGCGTACTGGCCAACAAATCATTCCCTCTTTACATATGTTCGTAATTGCCCCCACCAAATGCCCTTAAGAGAGCCTTCTTAGCAAGGATATATTCGTAATTTGACTATAAAAAAAAAGTAGTTAAATTGGTTTGTTCCTTTTCTCTCTCTGTCTCTCACAAAAGCACTTTTTGACGGTTTTAACTGTGAGGGATTCGTTGTGGAAATAAATTCACAGGCACTTCCACCATTGCCTTGAGCACTGTCCAGTGTTCGCCGCTCTTCAGTAAAGTGTTCATGGAAATGGGCATAATAATAGCCTGTCGCATAATTTGTGTGACCAACCTAATCATAATTATTATGTCTCATCAACAAATTGCCGCAATTGTCGGTAGCGTCTAGCTAACACCCACGTGAAAAAATTATTTCGTATTTGCCTTCAGTGTTATTATAGTTTATTTATTTAGTTTTACAGAACCATTCTTTAGCATCTGAAATTTTGATTGATTGGAAGATGAGCTGTAGTTGAACCAAGCCAGTGTTAACTGCTAAAGAGTCGTAACTTTTTCTTTATAAACGTTCATTCAGTGTTGCGTGCGTCTCCATTAAATGCTGATTGTTTTGGGGTGGTGTTCAGGTCGGAAGTAATTGAAGAGGAGATTGTAAATGACGATGCTGTTGATGACCCAGAAGAGGTTGCAAGAATGGTCGAAATGTGGGTTATATTTATATCTCTGTCTTTCGTTTTATTACTACTTTTGTTACTGTTTTCACAACTTGCTGAGACCTGCTCTGCTTGTGCATTTAGTGGCCGCTGCGTATTTAATAGGTTGAGATACGCCTTAACTGACACTGTGGGGTTTTGTATAAGTTGGTGGTGTTAACCGTTGTTCTTGCTGTGGCCCTTTCATAGTTAAGCAGACATATGCCACGGCTCTTTATCACTCCTGAGTTTTTCAGCCTTTTTGGGAAAGAAAAGGCATCTACTTATTGTTTTTTCTATAAAATATTAGCTTATATTGATTATGATCTTTTGCGGTTGTTACCTCTGGTCATTGACATTGGTATAGTTTAGTTTTTCTCGTCTAATCATAATTAAGCTTATCGCAAGTAATTTCAGAAATGCTCCCTCGTGTCGTGTGGCTGGATATGAAGTAAAATTTGACTTCAATTTATGTTAAACCATGTGCTTTTCGTCATCTCTTTCAGGCATCTAGTTATGGGTTCGAGTGTATGCATTAAAAGTAGGTAGAATTGTGGGCTCGAGTAGAGTTGGTTAATGGGCATCCAAAGATGTTGGATGTTGAAACAATCATTATCCTTTATTTTCTTCTTCTTCTTCTTCTTCATGTGAGAATTAATGATGGGCTTAATTAATATATGTGGACTATTTGATTTTGAATGCTGACGAAACCTTATTTAGTTAAATAACTCTATGATCTACAGGGCCACTAGTAATAATACGAGAGCGAGACGAAAGCTGGGATATTTCTCTTGTGGAACAGGCAACCCTATCGACGACTGCTGGCGTTGCGACCCAAATTGGCACAAGAATCGCAAGAAACTAGCCGAGTGTGGCATTGGGTTTGGTCGCAGAGCTGTTGGTGGTCGGCATGGTCGATTCTACGTGGTGAGTGATCCCAGGGATGACGACCCGGTGAACCCCAAGCCCGGAACTCTGCGGCATGCTGTTATCCAGAAGCAGCCACTCTGGATTGTGTTCAAGCGCGACATGGTTATAACATTGAAACAGGAACTGATCATGAACAGCTTCAAGACCATAGATGGGCGTGGAGCGAAGGTCCACATTGCTAATGGGGGATGCATTACCATCCAATTTGTTACCAATGTGATCATCCACGGGCTTCACATCCACGACTGCAAGCGAACTGGAAATGCCATGGTTAGGAGCTCCCCCTCCCACTATGGTTGGAGGACTATGGCCGACGGAGATGCCATTTCCATATTCGGGTCGAGCCACATTTGGGTGGACCATAACTCGCTCTCGAGATGCGCTGACGGTCTGGTGGATGCTGTGATGGGCTCCACCGCCATTACCATCTCCAACAATCACTTCTCCCATCACAACGAGGTGATGCTGTTGGGACACAGTGACTCTTACACAAAGGACAAGCGAATGCAAGTGACCATTGCCTACAATCACTTCGGGGAAGGCCTCATCCAGAGAATGCCAAGGTGATGGTGATGATGATGAGAGTAGAGACAGACACAGACAACAGAATTCAATTCAATTCACTTACTTTAATGTATATATGTATATTCATTTTCAGGTGCAGGCATGGGTATTTCCATGTGGTGAACAACGACTACACTCACTGGGAGATGTACGCCATCGGAGGGAGCGCAAACCCGACCATCAACAGCCAAGGCAACCGGTATCTTGCACCGGCGAATCCTTTTGCAAAGGAGGTGACTAAGAGGGTTGAAACCGCGGAGAGTAAATGGAAAGGTTGGAACTGGAGATCAGAGGGTGACTTGATGCTTAACGGGGCGTATTTCGTCCCATCAGGCGGTGGGGGTGGGGGTGCTTCCAGCTATAACAGAGCTTCAAGCTTAGGTGCCAAATCCTCATCCATGGTTGCATCCATTACATCTGATGCTGGCGTCCTCACCTGCCGTCGAGGCCGCCCCTGCTAGCTAGCTAGCTAGCTATCTTCATGCATGGTACGTAAGTTACTTTTTGAGCTTTTGTCCGATTCATTGGCAAGTGTACATGATGCAATACGATAATATTACTATAGTCGACCTCGGCTTGCTTCCAGATAGATAGATGGATAGATAGATAATTAGGGACGCGCCACTCTACACTGATCCATCCATCCATCCTGTTTAGGAAGTGTTGCCTTGTGTTGTGTTCTAATTAGACGTCCGTCTCTTCTTAATGTGTTTGCACGCACTTCTGTGGATCGTTAATTAGTTAGTTTAGAAGAGAACAGAAGAGAAGAGATGAGATACAAAAGTGAATTAAAAGGCGTTTCTTTGTTTTGAAATGATTGATTGATTGATGTTTGTTGATCAGTTAGTACCCTCACCCATTTCTGATTAATTTGTTTGCGATTCATAACATGCACCTCCATTGTTCATGTTGGATCGTTGGTGTGCTACCTCTAATTATTATTATTATTATTATGATGCTTGCCCATGCATCTACTAATCTAATATAACTTATAATGGGTGTGGTTGGTTTAGAAATTTTATTCTCATTTTACTATTTATTATTATTATTTTTCTTCAAAGTCATCAATTGGACATTAATTTTTAGTTTTTTTATATTATACTAACTATTATTTTTATATTCAAAATATCGTATTAATATATATTTTATATAATTATTGAAATTTAACATTTTTTTACTATTCAAAATTCAAATCTAAAATTAAAACTCTTTAGTCAAACACACCGAATATAATGTCATTTTCATCCCATGGGATCTTCTGTCCCCAAATATAAACCGTATCTCGTTTCTCCAATCCCTTCACACATAATATATATTAAACACAAGCATATATATATATATATATTAATTAATACAATATTATTATATACTTCATCCGTCTAATTCTAAGGGTCTCATTTACTTTTTGCGTTATTGTACTTAACATTAATTAAAAATATTCTTATATTTTATAATTTTTTGCAAAAATATCATTATAATAGTATTATATGACAGTAATAGAAGTTGTTGAGTACAAAAGTAAGACTAGAGTTTGAACCCAGGAAGGATGAATGGAAGGCCTAGTGGTGGCCAGATCCATTCGATTGGGTTGGTTGTTGGGCCCAACCGTTCGGACGGTTGGTCTTGCAGACATTAAACTTATCCAAGCGTGGACCTTGGGGCGGTTGGTTACAAAAGTCACCGACGTAGAAGTGGTTTTGGACGGTTCAGAGTGGTGACCGACGTAGAAGCGGTTTTGGACGATTCAGATTGGTAAGCGGTTTTGGACGGTTCGAATTGGTAACCGACGTAGAAGCGGTTTTGAACGATTCGAATTGGTAACCGACATGGAAGCAGTTTTGGACGGTTCAGATTGGTAACCGACATGGAAGTGGTTCTGGACGATTTAGATTGATGCGTATATTAGCAATTCAAATGAGAAAGAGCGAACATCTTCAATCAGACAAAATTCCAAAAATCTCATTGGGGCTCATTTTTATTTACTTTATTTTACACTTTCTTCAACTCTTTGTTTATCACTTGAGAATTTATAGTTCAGGGCTTTACTGTTCAAGTTTGAAATATATTTTCAAATTTTACTTTTTATTGTTGAAATTACTATAAACAAATTGGCGACCACAATGGAAGTTCGAGGCAAAATTGCTGATCTTACATCAAACGAGCATTTTAAACAACTCTTTCTGGTTGAATAGTCACTAGGAACCTCATGGTGGGTTCCCAGTCTCAAGGCCTCAGTACAACCGTCGGGGCCACTTCGACAACAACAACAACTATCCCCACCATGAGGGTCTCTAAAATACCATTTGAATAGTTAAATAATGTTCAACAAATGAACCATCAACAAACAACAACCATGCAGATAATGTTGCATGAGCAACAAAACTTAATGCTGAAAATATGCTCGATCAAGCCCTGTCGAGAGTTACGCTTCACTCCACACCTTCACCTTCACCTCCACGATTGTCTCATTCGCGCCTTCAGACAAACATTGCAGGGCCGTCATTCGTGGACATCACTATTCCAAGTGCTACAGTCCCTAGTAGGGCAGAGAGAGGTAAAACTCCCCTCACTTTTTCAAAAAATATCCTTTTGGGGACTCAGCCTGAGCCTTTTTAGACAGGTTTACAGAGGGATGACCGACCTGGAGGTCATCCTTATGATCCCACTCCAGTTCCGGATCATCATCCGTTAAGACTGGACCCGGACGATGTCACACACATTCTAAGGGTCTATTTCAGTATGACTCCACAGGTAACCAATCATCCCGCATACCAACGACCATTCCCTGAGTGAATCATCAATAAACATCCCCTTTCTAGGAATTATCGACCACCCGACTTTCACACATTCTCGGGGGAGGAAGGTTCTTCTACTATTGAGCATGTGGGACGCTGGTAGCCTCGGTGGTTCCAATAAAATTGCTCTAACACCACAATTTTCGCGTAGCAAGTGGTCACGAGGTCGATCCACAGGGACTGCAAAGTTTAATTTTTGTTTTGTCAAAATTTTAAATATTGGGGGATAGATTAACAATTCACTAAGATAATTAAGATAAACGATAAAATCTAGATTTCAAAAAGATTAAACTTCTAAGCCAAGGAGTAAACAAGAAACCGGATTAAACATTCGATCATTGATTTTAAATAATCTCGTTATTCAATTGATAAATTGGTTATAGGCTTTAGATACGATCATAACGCCCAATTTTTCCTTACTTTATTGGCGGCAATGGTACGACCGATTAACCACATCCCTAATCAAAGAAATAATCTAGGTACGGCCATAAATTAATTTCTTCAAATGAAAATAGCCCGAGAAAAACCCAATTCAAATATTCAATCAATTACGAAAAGATTAAATTATTTGATCATGCAATTCCTAGGCTAAGCTTGTCAACCTATTTACCACTTTATCAAACAAGTGCACAATTACGGATGCAAATGTTCAATTGGCACACAATTGTAAAACCAATCTAAAATCCGGCCGCGATAAAAAATTAAATAAAACAATTGTAGTTATGAATCACAAAAATTGCACAAATATCAATTTCATAAACAAGATGCAATTTAAATAAAAACATAACCTCACAAATCTAAATCCGAAATCTAAATTCAACCTTGGAGTAAAATAAAGAAAACTAGCTACTCATGCTCAAAATAAAAGAAAACAATAAAATAAAGATAATGATGATCTCCCGATCGCGCTTCCTCTCAAATGCCTCGCTTAATCCTTCAGACTATGAAATGTGAGTGTAAATTGTGATATCACATCCAATGTCTTGGCCCCCCTTTTTATAGATGACCAGGTCCTCAATCACTCCCTTAATCGCTCTTTATTAATCACGATGCCAACAATCAAGCTTTAATTCCCGTAATCCACTTCTTTCCTTAGTATGGGAGCTTAATTCAAATTTTTCCAAAATTCTTTGATCGAAAATATGGCATGGACGTGAATCGCTCAATTACCTTGCACAAATCAATACATGCAAAAAATGAGTATGATTATATCCAAAACATTGATTAAATCCTATAATTTATCTTTAGAAAATGTATAACAATATATATTTATCAATTCCCTATCACCCAAACCATGTTTTCCCTCAAGCATAAACCAAACAAACACACGAAAGAACTTGATGCAATCATAATCTCCACAAACAAATTCATATTATCATTACCTCAGTAAAACTCAAAACATACCAAGCGCAACATAACCTTGCTAGAAATAAAGTGTATACATTCAACACTCAAATATATATGGGTTAAAAAGTCACTCGTGTTGCATCGTATAAAATAATTATCCCATAGGCTTGCATATTGATCACATATCTTAATTCTTAGAATCTAATGCAAATAATCAAAGGGTCTTTAAATAAGGTTGTAACGGGGCTTTAGGTTGGGGTAGGATATAAGATATTATTCGGCCAATAAGTCAAAAAGAAAATATTCCAAGCTCATTTTGTAATATATAGACTCCGAGTAAAACTTCTCATTCCTCATTTATTCCTTCACTAGCATGCATACTCAAAACTTTAGTCTTTGCAATTTATGTAAGAAGAATGCTCATCAAGATAACCCGTAGTACCCCAACTTAACTAACAAATTAACATCAAAATGCCCATTCCCGCTATAATGTGATGAAAATTTGTGCCATGTTTTTATTATTTATTTATTTTTATTTTTTTACTTTTTTTTACTTTTCTCTTATAAGCAATAAACAACAATAAATAGACATAACTTCCCATTCCCTTAGAGACTTTAAAATAATATGAGCTCGAAACATTTTCCTTTGACTATAGGTTCAAATAAATTTTGGCTTTAGAAAGAAAGGTCGTAGGTTAAAATGCGGCTCTTTAAACAATAAAAATAGAATATTCAAGCTCGACGAGGCTCACTAATTGATTAAATTTTTTAGGTAGGAGATATATAAGGTTAAATGGTTCATCCTAATGCCCTTATCATATTAATCGCATAGACTTCTCGGAAATAAAATTCGACATGCATCGCTACGCAAGTTCTAGAAAACCAAGTTTAGAGCAACAATCACACACAAGAAGAAATATATAGCATTTAAAATGAATGCTCTATTAGGCTCAAATCTTGCATAGGGTAAAGCATGTCATGCTCGGCATATTTATCATTTACTTCATCGGCAAGTCATCTAATTAAAACATGTCATGTTGAAAAGAAATACACACAAGTCTTTAGCACTCAAGTCAGTCATGCAATCGGGAAAACAATGGATATTCACAATATTCACCCCCCACACTTACTATGCACATCGTCCTCAATGTAGGGCAACGCGAAAAGTAAAAAGTTTAAGAAATAGTAGACTTCCCTGAAGCCTAGGCATGCTTGCGTCCGACATGAGCATGCCGAAATTCGCATCACCTTCTCGAATGCCAAATAAATGCTCGAATCAAGGCCCTGGGCATCGGAAAAATCATCGTCACCTACGGAAAGCAAAGACAAGCGAATAATCACACCAAAAAGAAAATGCAAGAGAAAACATGAAATAAAATAAGATTGGGTTGCCTCCCAAAAACGCTTTTCTTTAACGTCTTTGGCTAGACATTATTATTAATTGAGAAATTAAATTAAAGGATCCTCAACAGCCATCCAAACCACGTCCTCAGCTTCAGCGCCCTCTAGATAGGGTTTCAATTGATGGCCATTCACCACAAATTTCTTTTCAGTCTTTGAGCTTTGAATTTCGACTGCACCATAAGGCAAAACATTAGTAATAACAAAATGACCAATCAATCTGGAACGTAACTTACCGAGAAAAAGCTTAAGCTTAGAATTATAAAGAAGCACTATCTGACCGACATCAAAATTATTCCTTAATATTCGTTGGTCATGAAAGTCTTTCGTCTTTGCTTTGTACGTCAAGGCTCTCTTATATGCCTTATTCCAAATCTCCTCTAATTCCTGCAAATGCAACTTTCTATGTGTTCCCGCTTCGTCAATAATCATGTTCCATTTTTTTACTGCCCAAAAAGTACGGTGGTCAAATTCAACAGGAAGATGACACGGCTTACCGAATACTAACCTATATGGCGACATTCCGATAGGCATCTTGTAAGCGGTGCGGTAAGCCCATAATGCATCCAGGAGGCGGAGACTCCAGTCCTTCATATCCGGTCGAACAGTCTTTTCAAGAATAGACTTGATTTCTCGATTCGACACCTCTGCTTAACCATTTTTCTGAGGATGGTATGAGGTTGAAACTTTGTGCAACACGCCGTACTTCTTGAATAGAGCGGTGATGGTCTTGTTACAAAAATGGGTTCCCCTATTGCTCACCATAGCCCTAGGAATTCCAAACCAGGTGAATATGGTGGACTTAATAAAATCTACAACCACTTTCGAATCGTTAGTCCGGGTGGCTTTTGCTTCCACCCATTTCGAAACATAATCAACGGTGAGAATGATATATGAAAATCCATGGGACATGGGAAATGGGCCCATAAAGTTGATACCCCATACGTAAAAAATTTCAACAAATAACATTGGTACCTGAGACATCTCGGCTCGAGAGGAAAGATTACCTACACGTTGGCAATTCTCACATGACTTGTAAAAGGTGTGGGCATTCTTGAACAATGTTGGCCAATAGAACCCGCTATCCAAAACTTTCCTTGCCGTTCGTTGGGAACCAAAGTGTCCCCCACAATTAAGGGTATGACAGAATCGAAGAATAGATTAGTGCTCACCTTCTTGCACGCATCTTCGTAAAATTTGATCCGAGCAACGCTTTCACAAGTAAGGGTCATCCCAGATGTATTAGTTTGCGTCGCTTTTGAGTTTGTCCCTCTTAGTTTTTGGCTAACCTGCGGGAAACGCTTTAGTTACTATATAATTAACTAAATCAGCATACCATGGAATACAATAATCAACTTGAAGGAGCAACTGTACGTCCGGGGATGTCTTCGTTATTGGTAAATCGTCATTGTTGGCATAAGGGAGACGACTCAAATGATCAGCGACAAGGTTCTCCGATCCCTTTTTGTCCTGAATCTTCAAATCAAATTCCTGTAAAAGCAATAGCTATCTGATAAGTCTTGGTTTCGCTTCCTTTTTCGCCACTAAATATCGTAATGCTGCATGATAAAAAAAATTACTACTTTAGTACCCAACAAGTAAGAACAAAATTTTTCTAATGCAAAAACTACTGCTAATAACTCATTTTCGGTAACAGTGTAGTTTAATTGAGCTCCACTCAAGGCTTTTGAGGCGTAGTAGATGGCGTAGGGACTTTTTCCTTCCCGTTGTCCTAACACCGCTCCAACCGCAACATCGCTTGCATCGCACATTACCTCAAATGGTAGCTCCCAATTAGGGGGGTGGACGATAGGCGGCGATGACAAAGACTCCTTAAGTGTGTCGAATGCTTTTTTGCACGCCTCGGTGAAATCAAACACCGCTCCTTTTTGTAGTAGCTCAAATAATGGGCATGCTATTTTTGAAAAGTCCTTGATGAACCTTCGGTAGAAACCTACATGACCCAGAAAGGAACGTACCTCTCGAACGCAAGTAGGATATGGTAACATGGAAATTAGATCGACCTTCGCCTTGTCCACCTCGATGCCTCGTGATGATACAACATGGCCCAAAACTACTCCTTGTTCTACCATAAACTAACATTTCTCCCAATTGAGTACTAAATTCACTTCACAACATCTTTCCAAAATCAAAGATAGGTTAGCAAGACAACTATCGAAGCTATCCCCGTAAACACTAAAATCGTCCATGAATACTTCAATAATTTTCTCAACATATTCTAGAAAAAATACTTAACATGCACATTTGAAATGTCGCCGGGGCATTGCAAAGACTGGCATTCATCTATAGGCTAACACTCCGAATGGGCATGTGAATGATGTTTTCTCTTGATCTTCTGGGGCGATAGCAATCTAAAAATATCCTGCAAAACCATCTAGAAAACAATAGTGAGCTCGACCAGCTAATCTTTCAATCATTTGGTCAATAAATGGGAGAGGAAAATGATCTTTCTTTGTCACTGCATTAAGCTTACGATAATCGATGCATTGCCTCCAACCAGTTTGCTTTCTTACCGGGACTAACTCACCATTTTGATTTGTCTCCACGGTTACCCCGGAATTCTTAGGAACAACTTGGATTGGACTTATCCAAGGACTATCGGGAATAGGAAATATGATTCCTACATCCCGGAGTTTGAGGACCTCATTCTTAACAACTTCCGTCATGATTGGATTCAACTTTCTTTGGCCCTGCCTCACCGGCTTTGCATCTTCGTCAAGTGTGATCTTATGCGTGCAAAATAAGGGGCTTATACCTTTGATATCCGCTATCGTCCATCCTATTGCTTGTTTGTGTTATTTTAGCACTTGAATCAATTTTCCCTCTTGTTCCGTCGTCAACTTCGATGAAATGATCACCGGAAAGGTCTCATTTTCCCCCAAGTGGGCATACTTCAAATGGCTCGGTAGTGGTTTTAATTCCAACTCCGGCGGCTACACAATCGAAGCCAAGAAATGCATATTAGTCTCGGGTAAGAATATAGGAGCATGGGCATACCTGTGTGAAACTAAAGTTGTAGCTTCTAAGGCTTGCGTCACTTCCAAAAAATCTAGACTCAATCCTCGAGTAGGCATGCTTTGAACCTTCAAGTGTTTCGTGAGTACCACTTCGAGCGCATCGTCACCCCTCAACTCAAAAGCATCCTGCACTTCAAGGTCAATAACATCTAACGAGAAAATAGAGTGAGGATCGAAGGGATATTTAGTCGCATCAAAAATTTTGAATTCAATTTTTTCCCCATCAAATTCCATCATCAAAACTCCATTATTTACATCAATCTTAGTATCCGCCGTACATATAAAAGGTCTTTCTAAAAGTAGTTGTGATAGGTTGGGCGAATGTTCATCATGCATTTCTAAGACATAGAAGTCAACTGGGAAAATTAATTCATTAACTTGGACAATGACATCCTCTATAATTCCTTCGGGATATGCATGCGTCCTATTAGCAAGTTGAATAATAATCCCGGTTTTCTTTAGCGGTGCAAGATTCAAACAGTTATAGATTGATTTTGGCATGACATTAATTGCTGAACCTAAATCTAACATAGCATGCTTGACTTCTAGTTGCCCTATTTTACATGGAATTGTGAACATACCCGGGTCTCCGCACTTCGGTGGAATCTTTCTTTGGAGGAGGGCCGACACATTTTCGCTTGCGATGATGCATTCATCGCCCTTCAACTTCCGTTTGTTGGTACACAACTCCTTTAAGAACTTTGCATACTTTGGAATTTTGTGGATTGCGTCCAATAGGGGTATATTGAGCTCGACCTTTCAAAAAATCTCCAAAATCTCATTCTTTCTTTTCGGCTTTATCGTCTTTGCCAACCTGGACGGAAAAGGGGCAAGATTAGTATTTAATTTAGTGATAGTTTTATCAATTACCTAAGTTTTTCTTTGCATCTTCCTTCTCGATTCCTTTTTCAATGGTGCTCTCGTCTTTATCCTTCGGGATGATTGGTTCTGGAGCCCCCACCGTCTTCCCGGTTCGTAAATTCATGGCACTAACATTCTTTGGGTTTCTTTCCGATTGTGATGGACATTTCCCCGTCTCCCTTTCCTTAACATGGCGAAGATCCACCGCTATTTGCTCCACACGAGATTCAAGATTTTGAATGCTCGCCCTCATATCTTGCTGGAATTGGATTGTGTTAGCGGCCATGGTCTTCATCATTTCCTTCAGTGAAGTGTTGGATTTGGAAGGCTGTGGTGGTGGTTGGGCAAATTGTTGCGGAGGTGCTTGTGGCAGGAACCCTTGATGGTGTGAATTTCCATACCTGAGATTCTGATGATCCTTCCACCCTGGGTTGTAGGTGTTTGAATAGTGATCATATTGTGGGTGCCTTGGTTGGTTGAAACTGGCTGCCTTCACATCGGCATGACTGTCCTCATGCAGGGTAGGGCATGCATCGGTGTGATGCTCCGGGCTCATGCAAATTCTATACGCTTTCAAATGACGTGTGTTTCCTGCAGCCAATTGATGAAAAACTTTGGTAAGTTCATAAATTTGTTGTCGAAGAGAATTGTTACCTTCTGAATATTCGACTCCTCTTATTCCAAATTGTTGCGAATTGTCTGCCATCCTTGCGATCAACTCCCATGCAGCTTTCGGGGTTTTATACGCCAGTGCTCCTTGGCTAGTGGCATCAATGTTGTTCCGGTTTCGCATGCCCAGTCCTTCATAAAAGTATTGGAGAAAAAGTTGGTTAGTGATTTGGTGTTGCGGGCATCGCGCACAAAGCCTGTTGAACCTCTCTAGGTATTTATGCAACATCTTTCCTTGTTGTTGCTTGATTCCGCAAATTTCCTTGCGTAATGTCTCCGCCCCCGATGCCGGAAAATACTTCTCCAAAAATTTATTTTTCATGTCCCTCCAAGTAGTCATGCTTCCCGCCGGTAGAAAAAATAGCCATTCCTTCGCCGCATCCTTCAATGAGAAAGGGAATGCCCGTAGCTTTACTTCCTCTTCCGTAACCATTGGTGGTTTCATGCTTGGGCAAACCACATCGAATTCCTGCAGATGTTTATGTGGTTCTTCTCCTGCAAGGCCATGAAACGAGGGCAAAAAGTGTATTAGTCCGGATCGTAATTCGAAACTAGCATTACCTTCAATTTCCGGCAAAGAAATGCATAGAGAACTCCCTGAGCGTGCGGGTATCCTCTTCCACCATATCGGGCTCTTGCTTGATCGATTCGCTCAGTTGAGAACTCGACGCCTTTTCAAATTCCAGCTTTCTTTTTGCTTCATTTCATAATGTCCTCGCCAATCTCTCGATTTCCATTTTGTATATTAGATTTCCTGTGCGAGAAGAGCAGGAAATAAACTATAGAAATATATAATATATATAATAAAATTGAATGACAAAAATAAAATAAAACAAATGTCAGTCCCGGGCAACGACGCCAAAAATTGGTAGCCTCGGTGCTTCCAATAAAATTACTCTAACACCACAATTTCCGCGTAGCAGGTGGTGCCGAGGTCAATCCACAGGGACTGCAAAGTTTAATTTCTTTAATTGATAAATTGGTTACAGGCTTTAGATACGATCATAATACCCAATTTTTCCTTAC